CCAACCCCTATGATTCTATGATTCCTACTTTTTAATTTGTGATAATTATCTGAAGAAGAAATTATAAAAATCTTCTTTTAATATGTTACTACATTAATGAAAATTATTTCATTTGCTATTTAGGTCTGGACTCAACTGCTACAGAAGAAGAAAGAAAACTGGGGAGGACCATTAAGAACAGTGTGGGAAATTCACAGGTCAGCCTCTCGGAGCGAGGCTGCGACAGCAAAGCGACCGGTGCTGTCTTTACTGGTGTCACCCTTCCCTGAGGCAACAAGTCAACCCTGGAAAATCACCTGACAACCACAGGGATCCTGGATAGGATCTGGATTTTCCTCCAACCATTTCCTGACACACGCATTTCTTTCTCTCCTTTTCTGCATTGCGTGCACTTCTGGCTGTGGAAAACAGCAGAAGACATTTCCCTGATTCAGTTCAGAAATTCTGTTGGAAAAGTTGCTCCCTTTTCTGAAGGGAACAGTACACCATGAAAAACAATAAAAAACCAAAAAGCAGAACCAGCTTTCTGACTGCATTGGGAAGAAATACACAGAAATAGGAGATCACAGCACGCTGGTGCACTGAGCCAGAGAAACCAATGACTGCAAAGCACGTCAGGTAAGTGGAGAAGTCTGTCCTCCAGCACTCATCCAGCTGGCAACACTCATATTACCAATAAGGAAACTTCAGTACAGGGACAAAAAAAAAAAAATAGGTCTCCTTCAGGCTTTTTAGATCATCAGTAGTCATTCACTGCTTACCTTAAATCCCCCTCCTACTTCTCCAATTACATTCTCAATAGGCACTTTGGTGTTTTCAAAATGTACTTCACAGGCTGAAACACAGAGTTAACACCTGTTGTATTATTATGCAGAAATATTCTAAACATTCAGGAACATAATTTACTCTTTTTGTAACAAGAAGTGAAGCTTGCCTAATGCACTGTTTGTTACGTATGCTTTGCCAAAGAAGTTAGAATTTGGGAAAAGACTGTAGTTGACATCAATTACTGATGTAAAAAATGCAAAGTATAACTAATGTATATTGTGTAAACAAAGATCTATAGTTTTGTCTCTATTATAAGGAGCTGACAGAGCAGTGAAGTCCATATGATAGATGGTGGAAAAGCTATTATAATCAGTGAGCCTAAGAAGAGCTGATGAAAACTTCCACATTAAAGCCAGTCAGGTGACTGAATCTCTGAATCACTGCAGTGTTAAGAAGCTTCACGTGTGCAGAAAAGAATGATACAATATGGATTACTTATTTCAGACCCCCATTAGGAAGGGCTCATAGGAAAAGCCAGGTGAAGAAACACCAAACTTATCCTGTTACATGGAAGATATTGATTTATCTGAATTCAGATGATCTAAACAAATTAAAACATGGAAAGAATTTCCGTTCACAGTTTTAAGCAATTCTTACTGTTGGATCCTCGAATGCCTAATTTATCCTCAGGTTTCCCATGGGTGACTCCACCAAAATCCCGCTCTACGATGAACGCAGTAATTTTGTCTTTCAGTTGTCCATCTTTATCAACAACCTCTGTCCTGGCAAATACAGTGAAAATATCCGCAAGGCCACCGTTTGATATCCAGACCTGTTTTGAGAGAGGAAAGACGTCTAAGAGATATATTTGTTCTGATTTTGTGAGCACTGTTCTCAAGTGTTTCATTAGGCTAGCATAGAACAGAGCGGTGAAAAATTGCAGCTTCTTCCCTTAAATTTTCAGGACTGTTCTTTTACTATTTGTGCCTCTTGTGAACAGATTTCCAAGAACAGCTGACCACAGAATGGTAAATTTAGAGCAATAAAAACAGGTTGTAGTACAGATTTGTATGAGGTTAAAATCCACATTGCTTTTTCACAACAGCTCTCGTATCCTGCTGCTTCTGGCATGTGAGGGGTACAGGAGTAATGCAGGCTGTAGAATCACTTTGTCCAAAATTATTTCAATTCTGATGAGAATCAGAAGGCCACAAACATACAGCCTCTCCCAGAGGCTGGGTCTCTTCACAGCAGAGACAAATACATCAGCAACTGCAGATCAAGTCTGCAACATATCAACTACTGTTGAATCCACCCTGTTTCTTCAAGATTGTGTTTTGTCATTGTTCCTATCAGCAGAAATGTTCCAAGCAGCCCTATGTGCAATTAAATGGCAAGTCTTATTTCAAAAACACCTATAAAAACTGGCATGAAGAATGAAGAGAGGAGAAAACAGGGGTTTGGGTTTCTTTTTGCCTGTGCTGTCACAGAGGGGGCTAACTAACCAACCCGCCCTGAAGCTGAGCACCACGAGCCAGTGATGCAGAGAAGGACCCTAGGTCTTTCATCTTTCTTTCCAAGAGGTCAGTGAAGGTTATTCCCTGCACAACGTGCTTTTCTAGTCTCTTTGGCCCTAAACCAACACACAGGTCGTCTTTCTGACATGGTCATTCGTTACTAGCTTGGAAACATCAAAAGTCTGATGCAGCTGCCAAACTAGGCTCTTACTTAGCCAAACTGCAATGCTGTGAAAGATAAAGGTGCTTCCTATAAATCTGTATCAAAACCTGTCAGGTCTGCAGTCTGTGAGTGGGTACCTTTGAGCCATTTAACAGGAAGTATTTCCCATCTTCACTGAGGGTTGCTCTTGTCTGGATGGACGCAGCATCACTCCCACTGAAAGCCAAACAAGTTATTAATGTTTAAAGAAATAAATATGCTTTAAAAAAATAGAACTATATGTTTTCACTCTTCCCATCCTTTAAAAACGAATGTTTAAAAAGGAATGTAGTATATAAATTTTAGTTTTTAACTAACAAGAGAACTTGTTCCAACAGCTCTAAAGAATGTCTGGGGGGACATTTCTGCTGATTAACATGTATGTTATCAGTCTTATGACCTGACCAGAGTATTTCGAATGCCATGCAAGTAACTTCCTTGAGCTACATGTTGATATGTGAACATACAAATGAAACTGTTGTCCTAACACAATTGAGCTTAAAATGTCTAAGTTGTTCCTCAAAAATTCACACCCTGGTTTTACAACCTAAAGGAAAAAAGGCTCAACAGAAATTAAAAGTTAACACATGACAGTCTATCAATCAACACTTGGGCAGGTCAAATACTTTCAACAGCAAAATCAGCAGGTGAAACAAAGAAAAGAGAGAAATAAGCAAAGAAATAAACCAAACCACCACAGCAATCAAAAGTTTACTTTCTGATTGTAAATCCGCACCCTCTCTTGAATCATCACCTTATCCCATAACAAAACAAGCAGCACATCATCTACCCCCTGCAGAGAAGTTTCCTCTCCCACAGATGAAAATGCTACAACTGCTCACTTGGGCTTTCAGCTGAAGACAGTCAGCAAGTTGTTGGAGGAGCCAGATCTCAGATGGTGTTTCAATGAGGTTAGGTTACTAAAATCCAGCTCTAAAAACAACTGCTTCTGTGTACTAGAACTAAGGCCTGTAAGACAACCGAGGTGAGAGTTACTAAGATTAGCAACGTCTTTACGTAATACCAGCCTCAGTAAAGTTGTTAGGAGAATTTCGGAGCACAAAGTTTAGCCCTTGGGTCTTTCCTGTGTGTCACCTCCAAGTCCCATCCACAATCACTTTGTTAAGATACCTGTGTTAGTTTAAACCCGACCCACAAGTGGCAGAGGGTCAAAACCCAATCTAGGACTCTTGAATAACATCTGTCTCTGGTGGCTGGGAGGTATGAAAATTATCAAGTATACCATGTCAAGTCACCCGAGTGTACCAGAATTCAGAGGAGAGTTTCAAACTACAGTTCTGTATGGACAAGCGTGATTCAGCTTCAGACACTCAACTGGTCTCAGTCCTTCCACCAGTTTCCTTTGGCTCTGCCTATACGGTTTTAAGCAAACTCTCTTCTGCACTGAGAGAATGTGCAACCCCAGCAACAGTCAATGAGCTGATGTAATAAATACAAAAAATGAAGTTGCTGACACAAAGACACCTTTTCTAAACTCTAAGGAAAGACTAAAATTTCTTCCTATTATTTTTGGTAGTTCCTTCAATACAGGCTTTTGTAATTTTGAAAAAGAACCAAAAGCATCCTAGAAGAGTCACAGCATCCCTTTTCTAACACAGCCTTAAGTATCCTTTCAATTCAAATCCAGTAACAAAACAATTTAAAAAATCACATTAGTGTTTTGGTGCTTTCTGAAGCTTTTATGGTTACAAAGCCAGTACCTTCCAGGCTCAGTGAGACAAAAAGCTGCAATGTACTCCCCAGATGCCAGCCTAGGCAGGTACTTTGCTTTCTGTTCATCAGTGCCAGCAATGAGGATTCCCTAAATAAAGAATGAACAGAAAACTTTTCAGCATCAACCTGCACAGAAAGAAACGAAGCTGACAAGCTTTGCCAAGCTCAACTTGCAAACTCTATGGCCTAACAAGAGAAGGTTTAATAAACAATGGACTTCCTTATTTATTATACATTAAAATATGTCAAAGTTATCATCACCCAGTTGCTCAAATGCTCGTAGGAAAAGGCTTATTGTTAAGGCTGCCTTCTAGGGTTGGTTTCACAGTATTTTTGCTGGAAGAGAAGACTTATCTACTGCTCTGAAAGGCACCGAGATAGTCCTTCCTCTATAACTTGTCATATCTTCATTGCTATCACTAGAATTTTATTTTAATAACTTCAAAAGCAGCAATTTTCAAAGCTCCTAATAACAGAACAGAACACATGACTGACTTAGGTTCCAAATTATTTTGTTATGTAGATGTTCAACAACTTTTTGTGAGAGTGCAATTATTTTAATTATCCCTGTTTCTTTTTTGTACCCCAGGTTTCTTATGAAGGACAAACAAAAGACAAAAATACATGGCAAAGCTAACTAATCAATAATTAAATAGCCAAGCTAGTTACTCAACAACACTAGGATTAATCCCAACTGACCCAAACTGGCCACAGCAGGAGAGCATCAGCAGTTGTGTCTGACAGTACACTTCTCATGAGACTGCTTTATAAATAAGTGAAATTTTAAGTAAGGTGAGGAATAAATACATATTTTTAAATAACATTGTCTGTTTAATTCCATGAAGAGTTTTTATTGTTTTAATGAACTTACTGCTATTTCAAGCCTCAGACTACTACCATCCATCCACAACTGAAAGCTTGTATTATACAGAATATGAGTTTAAAATTCACACATTTGCTGTAGCACATTAGTCTTGGGTTAAGTTTTCTTCTCCTTCCCCCAGCACGCAGCCTCACTCAGCTAGAAAACGTTGCACCCTTCTGAATTCTCTGCACGGCTGTCCCACCTCCTCATCACTTCATCCCTCCTGATATTTTATTTATTCCAATATTTATTCTAGCTACTTTCATCAAGTTTGCTCAACTTAAAAAACTTGCCATCTTCTAATGTATTTTTTCTAAGATCTATTACCTCAATGTTTTCTGGACTAATCATTTTCCTCTGTACTTCATAATCAAGTCTGTATGCTGCCTGAGTCCGACACCAAGCAGAGGATGCTGGGGACACCAACACACAGCCTGGTGTCAGAATTTCCCACGTGATTCATGCTGCACAGGAGAGTCTGATTTATCACAGCCACACTCCACGCTGAAAGGAACCTCACCTCACCTCTTCTACACGAGCTGTGCAGAACCACTTGACACAAAGGAAGAATATTTACCTTGAGCCCAATAGCTTGGTGAGCTGCCAGAGTGACTGCAATAGATCCATCTAAAGAAGTGATTTCTCCCAGACGTGCATACATGGTGTTTGATAGCCCCAGCCCACCTAGAAAAAATAAGAGGTTTTCTTCTAAGCAGACCTTACACTTTAAGTTGCCCCCTTGCCCCAAAACATCACTTCCAAGTACAGAAACATCAAGAATGTATCACTGTTAACTGGATGGAACATGTCCACAGACAAGTACCACATTGCTGAGCTGTGCCAGAAAAATGCACTCTGAAAACAGCCCCTTTTGGAATAAGTGTGAGTTGTGCTGGATTTAGATCTCTCCAGCAAGCAGATGTGTTTGTGTTCAAGCTGCACGCACACAGAGCACACACAGCAGGATCCATGTGCATCCAGCCTGAGAATGGGAGAAGATTCGGTATCAAAACTGGTCTGCTGTGAATTTCTGTGCTTACAGGATAAAATACACCACTTCAGAAATGTCTTTAATCCAAAAAAGTGAATGTATCCAGAAACGAACTTGACACCGGCACATTCTTTTTGGAAGAGTTCCAAAAAGAACTGCTTTTTGATCTGCTGCTGCAAATGCAGAGGCTGCCTGCAACAGAGCTTGAACACAAGCAGGATAAATCAAAGCTGCCCCTGTATGAGTTTAATGCTCTAGAATTCCATGTCATGAGGACCAAGTCCTGCTCCCTGGAGTTTAGGAGTATTTCATATATTACTGCTAAATTTTAATTATGTATTACAGCTTTATCTAATCAAGATAACTCTTTGTCCAGGTGAATTGGTTTTAATGTGGGACAGGGGTGTCTCCCAGGATGATGAGTACCTTGTTCCAGCAGCTGTCTCAAGGGCCCTACTGTTTTATGTGTGCTGAATAAATGCAAGAACAAGTCTCCCCAACGCCATTAACTCACATCACTGCCTCTCACACCCTTTTGCTTCAGAGCACGCTGGTGTCAGCTAGAACTCATGCTCCTCCTGCTCCTTTCCCCCTTTCTATGCAGGGCTGGGTTCAGGATGCAGCCTGGAGGCTGCTGCTGCTGCTGTGTGCAGGAATTCCAGTGATGCCCACGTTGGAGAGCGACGTTATTCCACAATTTACCTGAGCTGCATCTCTCCTACCCACATTCTGCCCTCTAACGCTTCTGGCAAATAAGCCACTGCTGCAGGCCAGAATGAAAAACACCACGCGACGCACAAAGCACCGAACACACCACTGGAGAGTTGGAAAATATGACAAGCACCACCAACAAAAATACAAGCCCACCCCCTTTTCTGGGGTTTAAACCCCGTAACCTCATTAGAAGCATATTATTTATGGAGCAGGAAAAAGCAGCTTGCTTACAACCAGGTAATTGCTTTCCATTGCTGGTTTTCACCTAGCACACGTGGCCACAAGACAACAGCACTATGATTTCCTACAAGGATGCTGAATGGACCGCAACCTTCTACCAGTTGAAAGTTGAGAGAATATTATTTCACGAGCTTCAAAACAACACAAGAGCAAAACAACAAAAATTTTTCAGTACTTTGATATGGAAGCCAAATTCTATGAGACTCTCTAAAAATAATGAAGAGTGGGAAGCTTATTTCTTGTTAATCAATAGTAAATTACTTTAAGACCATCAAAGTAACAAGGTATGTCTCCAGCTTTATGTAGTAATAACCAACCAACCAAAATATTGTAATCACTGAAAAAAGTGTATTGTTTCACACTCTTCTCTTCAAAAATGAGGCGCCTTCCCCACTGAAACCATCTTCTGCAGATGGTCAAACAGTTTTGTCTTCCCCCGAGTTGTTCTTTTGAAAGTGTTCTTTTAGAACAGAAAACAGGCAACACAATGATCTCATTTCTTTATAAATTCCATGTGAAATAATAGTTTCAATCCAAATTTTTATTTTATACATAAGATCAATATTTTCTTGAAAATTCCTTTGCAAGGTTATGGGTTAGTTCACTGAGGATCTCATGCCTCTGATCTCAGCTAGCACATTAACGGCCTTTAAAAGAAAAACTTTTTTGGTCAGTATTGCAGAAAGAAGACTTTATACAAACACTATACTTTTAATATATAGACATAACAACTTTACACTTCTATAGGGCCAAACGCCTTCCTGTCTGCCTTTTGTGAGCATACACTCACCATATTCCTCTGGTATCTGGATGCCAAAGAGACCCAGGTCCTTCAGTCCTTTTAACGTTTCGGGTGGGATTTTTGCATCCTGATCAATCTTCTTAGAGTCCACTACAAAGAGAAAAGGTTTGATCATTAGAAACTGTATTTCATAGCACAGAAAGAACCTCTGGGACCACAGTGTTCTTAAATCACAGCCGAGGTCACTGCGTGCTAAGAGTTAGCAATGGTATAGTCTCTAACCTAACTGAGAGCCCAGAGCTGAAGAAAATTAAATGACCTACAGAAAAAGGGGCTGCTGGAGCACCACCTCCCCACTGTGATTCCCCTCTAGTCTTCCGAAGCACATTTAGGACAGACACAGTCTGTGCTGCCCCTGACACAGGCATGCTTCTCTCCCCTAACTTCACATGAGTTCCTCTTCCTGACTCCAGCCAGATCTTGCTGCCTGTCCCATTTGCCTTCATGGCTGGAAAAGCCTCAAGCCCTACACTGGCTTCTGTGAGACCAGACACAGAAGCACAGAGGGTGGGTCAGAGGCTGTGTGCCTGTCACCCCAGCCCACCCTGCTCCCTGCAAAGTGAAAAACGAGCAGTTTTAGCCTTTTGACACCTATCACACTTCAGGAGGGGTCTTAAACACTGCGGTGTGATGTCCCACTTCTGGAGAACAAGGTCCTACTGAAGCAACCCACCTTATTACACCATCACAGTAAAATACAAAGCTGATTGGAAGGTTCCAAGAATACTGATTATGATTAAAGTCATGACATATAGAGGAAAAGGACTTGGCACTAGGAAAAATCTGGGGTTTATTTCATTTTCTCAAACATTTCTGTGTGACTAGGTTGTGCTTGTCAACAGATTCCATGAGTAAAATAAGCAAAGTACTTCCAAGATTTTCTATCTGAGCTATGTCAAGATCATGGTTAAAAAAAGAGTACATAAATGAGTTAATTACAAAAAACTTGTTCTTACGAGCTATTTAAATTCTTGAGGGATTACAAGAGCTGTTCTGGACTGTGACAGTGCAAATAAACAATTGTATTAAGCAGCTCAGGAAGGCCATCAGCTGCAGCAGAAGGAACACAAGCCGGGTTTCAACAAAGACACAAAAAAACTCTGCAGAAGCAACGCTGCTTTCCCAGAGAAACTTAAATGGCAGTGGAACTTCTGTATGAAGGGGGAGGCAACTAAACATTCCGATGCTCTTCTCAGAGAAGCTCTTCAGAAGGAAAACTCTGTTTAAAAAAGACTTTTCATTCCCCATGCTAATTTTTTAGCTGCATAGTATGAGATAGGTATCTGTAGTAGGCCATGAGCTGCTCCAGGGAAAGAAAGGTGGGTTTTACCTCCTCCCCCTGATGCCCACACAGACCCGTCTGTGGTGGCCAGGCACTGCCAAGCTCCAGGACAACTCTGCCAACGGCAATGTCCTTCCCCAGTGCCAAACATATCCAGTTTCTAACTGTTCAAGCCTGCTCTCCTAACCTATTTTTACCACACTCATAAGTTACCCTGAATACCTAAACAGAAAGAGTTGTGAATTCAAAGACTGACCAGCAATCACCACCCAAAGTTAATCACCAGAGTTAAGACTCCGTAATTTGACATTTTTATCTTTCCCTTAAATATCAGGTTTTTGACTCAATAAATTATGTTCTCCAACAGAGCAAGGAATTAAAAAATGTAATCTGCATAAAATCTTAATTTACCATCAGTGAGCAACATCACAACTTTATAGCTAAAACTACCTGGATCTCATAAATTGTGACCTTTGACAGTCACAGGCTTCTTCAGACTCCCACAGTGTTTGGCAATCTACGCCCAGAATCTGTGTCAGCGGGCAATCTCAGATGACGCCCTTTAGCTGCCCCAGAAATTGCTGTCTGTAAACACCAGTTTTCTGCCATTGTTCTAGAACTGGCTTATCTCTTGCCCCAGTAAGAGGACATGCACCCACAGCCCTGTCTAGAGTGCACACGACTTTTCCCAAACAGAACCACCGCTCTCATGCTAGAAAAACATAAATGCTTCTGGTTTTTCAGAGCTTCCCTATGAGCCAGCACTTTGGAATACGTCTCCTGAATTTTGCTAAACCCAGTCTTAGGACAGTTAAAAAGTTTCAGAAAAGCTTCACAACACATGAAGTGGTAAATAGCATTATTCAGCTGAGCTAAAACTGATTTCAAACCCTACCCCTGTCCCAGAATTCCTTCACATCCTGCTTTTTTCTGTTTATCTCTTTCTCGTTTGAAGACCTGTGTTTTCTCCTCAGCATTCAAACCCTCCACATAAAAAAGCCGTAAATGAATATGCCTACAGAACCAGCAGCAATCTATGACTGGCAATAAATGCATAAAAAAACCCTTAAATATTTTAAGTATAAACAACGTTACTCAACTGCCATAGTTAAATCTGTGCAATCCCTAAATGAATAAGAAACTCAGAACTATACCTTCTTCATTGAAGAATTTTTCTACAGGTCCCACAAACTGGTTGATCTCCTCTAGTTCTTCATTGCTAATTTCTGGGTAAGGGAAAACATCTTCCTAAAATGAGAAGCAATTTTATTTATTTTTTTTTAATTAAAAGCATGAATCATGCACTTGAAATAAAAATTCAAGAACATCTGTCTTTTAAACGCTACTCTATAAGACCAGTGAGAATTAAGAACTGTGGAAAATGTTCAGAAGCAGCCGTATCTGATGAAATCCACAGGACTCAACTTCACCACATACCAAAACCAAACTATAAAGTCCGAAAAACAGAAATATCCAAAAGAAACAAAGTTATTTTAAGAACTATGAGGATGCAAAAATCCTTCACCAACCACAGATTTTGTCAACATAATCCCATTTTGGGATTAAAAAGAAAAAAAGTTAATTTTACTTTGTATCAGAACCAATTTGCTGTTGTAATACACCCAAAGCTCAGCCATAAAGGCTGTCCCTTGGAAGGACACAGCTCATTCCACCCGCACAACATCACCAGCACAAAGGTGAGAGAGTTCACACCGCTCCTTATCATCACCCTGGTCTTCTGGTCATCAGCTGGAAGCAGTATGACCCGACAGCGTCATCATACTTTGACCCCTGTCACCTCCAGATGCAACAAGAGCTTCAATCTTTCCTATTAAAAACTGTAAGCAAAAGTTTAGGGAAAAGCCTTGTCCCTTGAGGCAAGCAGGGGGTAAAGCTGCAGCATTCTGTGGAGTAGAGGTGTTCCACGCCCAGCCCCGACGCACAGGAGCTCTGGTGATTCTGTAGGAACTTGTTAGGCTTGCTGACCAGGTCCCTGGGGTTTAGAGCAGCCCTTCTGATGCTGGTGGTTCTGGAGCACTTTGAGTTACAGCAGCGTTTTGTGTGTGCAGGTGAAAATAGGTTGTGAGGGGCCAACTGAAATACTTGAGAGCAGCTCCTACTGGAATTGCATCAGTGGACTGCACAGCAATGACATTCAATCCACACTGCTGGAGGGTAAGGAGGCTCTTCAGAGGGACCTGGCTGGGATGGATTGATGGGCCGAGACCAACTGTCCAACAAGGCCAAGGGCTGGATCCTGCATTTGGGTCACAACA